TTGCTAGCAAGATTGAACACTCCCTTAGTCATTTATTGGTCATTAGCTTTTTTTCTCCTGTGACTTTTCTATTCATGTCATTTTCCTATTTTTAATTTTTTTGGCCTCTCTCTCTCTCGCGGATGAAATAGAGGCCATCTACCAAACCTGACTAGCTCAGGGGAGGCCTATGTAGCGGGACTTACAAACTCAGAAACCAAAAGTAACCAAATAAAATGGTCTGAACATGCAAATTCCTAGCTAAAGGCCAGACATGGTGGGTAGTCATGTCCTAAGCCTGTAGCTTCCTTGACAAAGGTCAATCTTTACCTAAGTGAGCCTGTCAATTGTCTTTTTGCATCTAAGACAACATACTTTTGAAATGTCAGAGTAATCTTCTTTTCCAGACCTGCACTAGAGCACAAGACCACAGAATCTCTCATTGCTATCTCAGGCCACGCATACCATTTCTATGGGCTGTAAAGGTCAATTATTAACTAATACTGTATCCACCAATGTAAAAGAAGTGCGTGTCTCTCCATATCGCTTTCTATCCAATCCCAAAGATTTCCACGCTTTGCTTTCTCCCGCCTCCCTAATCTACCACCAATGGATTTCATATAACACTTCTTACGTCTTTTCCTTTTATTCTAATGTATAAAATAAGCTGCAAAACTCCCATTCTCCAGAGCATTTTCTCAATTCATTGAGATTTTGCTCCCTGGCAATTGTCGTCAGTTTGGCTCAACGAAACTCATAAAAATACTCTACAGGTAAGTGGATACGTTTCTTAGTTTCTTATGTTGACAGTCTTATAGATTTGTGATAGTTCTTTCAATATTCTAGATATTTATTATATTTCACTTACATGTGTTGCAAATTCTCCTAATCTCTAGCTTATATTTTACTTTTTAGTGGTTTTTAACTTTTTAATTTAAGTTAAATTTATCAATTTTTTTCTCTATGCTTTGAGCTTTCGCATCTTAAGAAATGCTACAATAATCCTTCAAAAGATTAAAAAAATTTGTTTTCACTACATCAAATTCAAATCTCACTGAAAGAATAAAATGTATGTGTAGAAAGTGTATAAACTTTGGTTTTAATGTGTTGAATCTATTTTTTAATTTAATTTTAATTTTTAAAAATTTATTTTAGAGAGAAAGAAACATTGATCTGTTGTTCCACTTAATTTATGCATTCATTGGTTGATTCTTGTATGTGTCCTGACTGGGGATCAAAACCATAACCTTGGCATATTGAGATGATGTTCTAACTAACTGAGCTACTCAGTCAGGGCTTGAATCTGATTTTAATATCTGGGATGTAGAATTCAAAATTTATCATCTTTAGAGATAGTCACCTGCTCTAATTTAATAATTCCAAGCAAGCATAAAATCAGAATTCTTCATCTCTTTTTCTTAAAATACAAGTACAGTCTAATTTTAAGAAATGCCTTAGTTTTTATTTAAAAATTAAGTTAAATTTGCATGCTTATGTATTAAAAATTATGTTAGAAGTCTACTTTTTTACCTTTAAAAGTTTCTTAGTCCCGATTCATTGGCTCTCAAACTTTTCTGACATTGCTTCTATTTTTCAGTCTCTGAAATACATACATACATTAATATATACATGTGTACATACATACATACATACATACATACAAATTGCTTCCTCTCAAATTTCCATTTATTCCATCTTTATTTCCTGAAAGGGCTCTATTCACTTAGATTTATTAGGCTTCTAAGGACCACTCACATAGCTTTTTGTAGGTATAAATAGGGGATTTGTGATCAACTCTACTCTGTCTTCGTTTCTTAGTTTAACAGAGAAAAGGAAAGCTATAGGAAAAAGTTTTTGAAGAGTAAAGGATTGGTTGTTAAAATAATTTTAAAGAATTTCTACTGCAACTGAAATTCATTCAGGGTTAAATTTAAATTTGTTTCATATGATTAAATTAAGAACTAATGCCTGGATATTACACTAAAACATTTCCATACACATGAAAGTGCTATATGTAGTATGAAGATGACAAGTTATTAATTTAGCATTTATATTTCAGGGTAAAGAATAAATGAGGGAGAACTGATAGATTGAAATAGATGAAAAGAGTTACATAGTTACATGGGCACACTCACTTTGTGAAAATTTATTGGATTGAACACTTTCATCAAGTTTTGTATTTATGCACTTTTCTGTATGCTTTTTATACTTCAATAAAAAGTTTTTTTTAAAAAAGACAAGGGCCCTAACCAGTTTGGTTTAGTGGATAGAGCATGAGCCTGAAGACCAAAGGGTTCGATTCTGGTCAAGGGCAGGTGCCTTGGTTGCAGGATTCTCCCCAGCCCCGGCCCTGGTCAGGGCTCACGCAGGAGGCAACTAATATATGTGCTTCTCTCACATCAATATTTCTCTCTGTCCTTCCTTCTCTTTTCCACGCTCGCTAAAAATCAGTGGAAAAATATCCTCAGCTGAGGATTAAAACAACAACAAAATTTTAAAAAGAAACAAGAGATCAACCTAATGCAATATATGGATCCTGATGCCAATAAAGGGAAGTTTTTAAAAAATCCTTTTTTGCAATTGAGAAAATCTGAAATCTGATGAAATTAAGGAATTATTTTTCTAAGAGTAGTAGTGATGTAGTAATGGTTATTTATTTTTTAGTCCTTTTATTTTACTTGAATGTGTGTGCCACAAAACTTGTTTGTTGAAACTGGATGGTGGATACATTGGAGTTTTCTACTTTTGTATGTGTTGGAATTCTCTGTAACGCAATTAAAATGCAAACACACACACACATGGATCCATTTCTCTCGCTAATAATTTTTCACCCTTACTAATACTGTTTTTTTAAATTCACAGTCATTGGAGGAGAAAAGGAATCTTTTGGGAAATTTTCATTACTCTGTTTAGACGCAGGATGGCACTCTTTGAATAAGTAATTAGTCAAAGTCCACTTCTCACTGGATAAGCTCCTTTCCTTTACAATATTGCTACTTCCTAGGGCAGTTTGTCTTAGTTGAGAGTAAAAATTGTCAAATAGCTTATAGAAATGATTACTATTCACACCTTAGTTTAGTTTTCTGTGATGGCTGTGTTTATCCACCACCAGTTTTTGAAAAATTAAGGACAAAGTCCACAACAATTTAAAGGATGGGTTTGATGCAAAAACAGCTCTGTGGCTACTCTTCTTATTTTTGACATTTATAATTATTGCTAGGAGATCAGCCACCTCTTGTGTGCTAATGCAAACATCTATATTTCTATATGAACCATCTTTATTTAAAACTGTGAATGCCAACCACAGAACGTATTTCTACGTTTTCAATGGCATTGAGCCAAATACTACTGATTTAAGGTCAAGATGAGGACTATTGACTGTGGACAGATGCTTTCCCCTTTCAACCCTCAAAAAAGAATTCTTGGACGTTCTCAGTCTGATTCATGCCTTCTTTTAGCCAACTATTCATGTATTCACCAGAAGAATTACACCTACTACCTCCGGTGTAGGAAGAAAAAAAAAAATCAAATGAGCAATAATGTTAGCAGAAGCTTGAAACTTAAGCGCCTGTTTTCAGAAAGGTCCTCCTCCCCACCCCCTTCCCTCCGGTCCAATTCCCTTTTCTGGTTCTGGCCATCGGAAATTGACTTGGCGTTAACTACCGACTGGAATTTCAAGGCGTCAATTCCTCCACCCCCACCCCCAACCTTGGAAACTCTTAAACCTCTTCCTATCCTGCACTCAACGGTAGAAACAGATAAATGATGCAGCAGATTCCACCGCTGAAAGACAACATTTGTCCTGAGCTATTTTCACTTTTTTTCCCCTCTCCTGTTTCCGATTAGTGTGCCAGACTTTGTTTGCTTGCTTAGGACATGGAAAACATATTTGGGCATTTCCCCCACAGTTTTATGCCAGTGGCTTTCTCCCAGCAAATGAAAGTGAAAGTGCTACGTTGTAGTGGTGTTTTATCCTTAAAGTATGGACTGGCTTCTGGGGGGTAGGGGGTGGC